ACGATGCGTCGCTGATGTATCTGTTTGGATCTGTTTGTCCGTCAATTGAACTATTCAGCCCTGGTTGGTGTTTTTACCTTTTAACTGAAATCTGAGATGTTACTCAAATATTTTTCTCAAACTGCATTGAGAAAATGAGCTTCAAGATTCAAGAAATTAAAGTATTAATTTATTAAATTTTCTTCATTTTAGGCGCATTGTTTAAAAATATATTTTAAAATTTCATTAAATGCAGAGTTCAAATTTTGCTTCATTTAAAATAATGTTATATACTTTTTTATTCATCTTCTTATTCTTCTTATTCTTATTATTCCTCCTTTTTTATTCATCTTCTTATTCTTATTCGAAGGATTCCTGAGATCTGGTATTCAGAAAATTCGATAATTTTTCAGAAATGTCTATTTAATAATTGTTTAGAATTAAATGCTTCAAATTATTCATTTTTATTTTATACATAACCTAACTGACTAAATATTTAAAATGTTTATTAATAATAAAACCTAAGTTTGTACTTCTGTTTTAATTACTATTTTATTTTTTCTAATCTCCACTACACACAGAAAATAAATGTGCTATTTGCGTAAAATTCCCATAATAATCCTATTAGTAATTTTTTTTTTACCTTTATTTAGTATGTTGGAATAGTGAGAAGTGGCACGCATATTCTTTTTCAGATACTGGCACTCTTTTCAAAAATGTTGGCCACCCCTGAGCTACAATAAGAGAATAATATCCCACCTCTATGTAGAGAATCACTTGATAAACTATATCCATTTCCCCTGTATGCTGAATAAAAAAGGAAACTGCGAAATTCCATATTTGTGTCAAGTTCAAATGTGATTCGAAATGTCCAATATCTGAAGTCATTTCTACGTTCCTTGTTGAGATAGCAGTACTATGAATCACTCTTTTTAAGACTTTTCTAAGACTGATTCGCTCTCTCTATCATCTTAAATCTCATTTCTAAAGGAAAAAGAAATTAATTTGCTAGCTCATCATCTTAATGGTACGTTAGATTCGCCAATGCTCAAAATATTTCTTGGTGGAATAACAGCGGTTGTTAATAAAACTGGGAGGCTTTGAGTCAGAGTGAACTGAATTAATAAAATCAATAAAAAATAAAAGAATGATTAAATCATTTCCACTCGAACCTTCAAGGCGGAAGTTTATTGTAAAAAATATTGATTTAGAGTAATATCGTCTTATGACTCATAATCTCTTGTGTCTGTTTACAGCAAGTAAGAAAATAATAACTTTATTTCAAACGAAATTTTTATCTTTAGAAGAGGTACAGATAAGGGGGGTTTTTCACATTGGTATGAATACTTTATGAATATCTGGATTGGATTTAAATTTATTGGGTTAAGGCAAAATAAGGTATGGCTTTCTGTATGAAGCAATTATCTTGTATTCACGTTATACATGGAGAAAAGCACAGAAACATCCATGCAGCCAGGCCCTCGCAGAGAACTGCATCCATATCAAGCTACCAATGCTCATTGGTTTAGCCATTTTTACTGCCACCGGTGGATATATGAATATTTAGATTCCAGGCTATATAGATGAAGTGTGTTTATCTCTTCCCTTTGTCTTTTTCTGTGTGTATTGTGTGCTTGCATAGTATATGTAATGTGTAAAGCAGACGAAAATTCTTTTGCCTTTTCTAACTTACACTATGCAGTTTATATTTGATGCTTAAAATCAGACCAGAGCCTCTAGTATTTCCAGTAAAATACGTTTAAGGCTTAGAGTTGGCTACATTAGCGTTTTCCATCTTGGTCGCGTAAATCAATTTATCGCTAGACGTCAGCTTGATTATTTCATCCTATATGAATGAAATAGAAGTAAATGGTTTCGACCAATAGTTTGATTAAGTTTCACACATGAATTCGCCCTTGAGAAACGTTATTTCCACAGATTTCTGCTTCTGAATGCAGATTTCTGAATTGAGTTAACATATAAATTAAGCATAATATTAGATTCAACAAAACTGTGTAGATTACACAAATGTTAGAAAAAAATTCGTGATTCTTCTCTGCATGTTTCTGGAAAGAAAATCATTGCTGTATTTCTTTGAATAATTGCTTTCAGCAGTTTACTTACAGCATGATACTATTTCATTCCCTGCTAAGTGCACATATTCTTTTGAACGGGACCAGAATGCATTATATAAGTATATTATGCACAGTTTACAGAACGTTAACACAGAGTTTATTTGCAGATAGATATATAAACTGTACTACAGTTTTCTATAAACTGGGACCAGGAGGAGACACATTCATAGCTTCTGTTTAAATGGTTTGATAAATAGTTTTAGTTTTATTGTTGTTTAGATGTCAAGTACCTTATACAATAATTTTCAATGAATGAGTTTTTATATACTAGAAATATGAGTATCGTAAATACAAAGTGTTTCAAATGATTTTGTATTTGTATTATAGTTTATAATTGACAAAAGTATATTTTAACTCCTTGCAGTTCCTTTTTAGAAGCATTGATTTATAAATCGACCAGAGTCATAAGGTAAATTCTAATCAGTATTATTTATTTAGGTACTTTTTTATATTGTACATTATTACAATAAACACTTATACGTTAAGGCCAGAACTGTGAGAACCGTATAAAATGCTAGCTGAATTTCAGTTCCTTGAGAACTAGAATAGTGAAGAACTGTGTAGCGACTATTCGCCGAGTTCTTGTCAGTAAGGAATCCAAATAAGGATTGATTAAGTACCCTTTATTCCAACTAAAAATAAAGGAACATATAGCCCTTTCTCGGGCTTACAATAAGTCTCTACTTGGGCTTTAACTCAAGACAAAAAGTATAAATAAAACTAATCTAATGCTAACTAAAATAAACCAGCCGAAGCAGCACAGAATAAACTAGGTAAGTTGGCTCTTATGTACGATCACCGGCGTATACCAGGAGGCTCGTAACAATCTCCTACGCTCTTTTACTGAAGTGACCCAGACTTCAGCTTAGCTACAGGTCTCTACCTCATTTACATATATAGAAATTATGAAAACTCATTCTGGCAGGGAAACATATGTGAGAAGCGAGAATTTAAAGAAAAGGCTTGTTTAAAAATAAAAAAATAACTGATAGGAAAATAAAGCAAACCTTACAAACAATGCATTTTTAGAGTTGCAAAGTTAGAAAGAGTATAACTTGGATAATATCTTTAAAGAAAATCCTATAACTTTGTGTCATGATAAAGTTTAATACTGTACAATTTACCAGAGTGAACATGTTTACTATGTAAAACATTGTAACAAAATAAAGTCAGCGACTAAAACACAACTGTATTACATAAAAAGAAGAAATTTTTAAACTCAAAGATGCGAGCAATTCAAGTGCTGAGACATTATAAAGTGGATCTAATAAGGTATTAACATGAGTGGAATTACCATCTTTTTACTGTCAGAAATAGATTGCAAAATTTATTTGTTTTTTTGATTATCAGTAATAATTCTTAATAAATCGTTAGCAAAATAAAAATAGTAGACAATCACTTAGAAAGTGGTAAAATAATTTCTTTATCTGCAGAAGAAGACATTTTTGAATAAATTAGAGAAGAAATCTTGTGAAAGCAAAACTGTAAGATAAATTTCTCAACCTTGGGGTGACTATAAAGAGGTTCGTTTCAGTGCAAATCAACTACTAAGGATTAAGAAAACATCTACAATAACGTAGTAGCAGATTAAATGCATCTGAGGTAATTAAAATGATTTACTTATATGTGGTGTAAACGTTAATGTCAGGAACTGTTCGATGCAGACTTCAGAGTTTTGGTTAAACCTTAGAATTCCAAGGAAAAAAATATTTTTAATATGTCGGACAAAGGAAGAGTTAGAATAGACTAAAAGGCATGTTAATTATTCGAAAGAGTACTAAAGTCTAGAGCGATAAAAGCAGAATACCTGTAACTGATGCCGATAGAATGAAATGTTTTAAAAGAAGAATTGTAAAATATGGGTTTTCTGAGGAAATAGTACGCACCATGAAGCCTTCAGATTCTAAACTCTGTGAGAATATATAACAAATGATGTGGGAAGAATTAGATTAATAAATTTCATTTAAATTAGCAGAAGCTTTATCTCTGATGTATTAGAGTTGAAATTAATACTGTCAGCCTGCGAAATCTTTGATAATACTGTGTTAAATTTCAACATTAATTATTCAACTTAAACATTAATTATTCAGAAGAAATAATACAAATTTAGGTTCTATATTCATTTAGTTCATGAGAAAATTATTCCTACAATTCATTAGTAAATTTGTTAGCAGTTTATAAATATGTACGTCCCTAAAACTGGATGTTTTACCGTCATAAAAGGGCTGTTGAAAAAAATTAAACACGGGCGTTATTTTTAATAATATTACAGCAAAAACCGTGCACCAAATACTTCGATATTTGACACAATAACTTATGTTGTTAGGCACACAGTTATACCCATGCGTACCTTTCGATTGTGGTAAGGTGACGTACTGATTTTTTTTTCAAATTATGGTAATAATTTCCTAAATAATAACATATATTGTAAATACCTGTGAATTATTTGCAACTGAAGTGTTATTAAATGTTCACAGTTATGATTTTTGAATTAGTGACTGCTACTAATGCTGTAATAAAGCTTATTACAATTTTTTCTTGTTGCTTCATTTTCTTTTATTTCTTTTTGATGACTTCAGAGCTCATAGTTTTTAAAAGTCATAATGCTGCAATAATCTTCCATTTTTTTCATATAGAAAACAAAGTAGAAGTAAATAAGAAATATATCAATTTTGTTACTTCCTTTTTAGCCGGCCACCGCGTTCATTCATCGAGAGTGGTAAGCTCAACCGCCCGACCTGTATCATGTAAATTTCAGATATCGACAAAGACTTTTACAGTGGCCGCTTTAACAAGGAAGTACCGAAATGTCTCTTGAATCTAATGAGGTATGAAGGGATGTGTTTGAATATGAATAACAGTATGTTTTTTTTCTATATTATTTAGACCTTCAGATCGGACCGAAGAAGATTTGGAGATGATCTACAACCGGCTTCGTGGCATCGAAGCTTTCGAGAAGTACCATCCTACCCTTCTCCACCAAATGTGCTATTTCGGTTACTACGAAGACCTGGACAAAGGAGTCACATGTAATTATTACAGTAATCTTTATTTATTACTGTTAAGACTTATAGATGTATCACAAAGTATTTGCTAAAAATTAAATTAAAAAAGGCATCCAGATAAGAATAAAACACATTTCAGGTTTTTTTGAATTAAAACTAAATTATAAAAGTATACTATGAAATTAAAACTTATATGAGAATGTTTTTCACTTAGTTCTGTTTTGATGTGCACATTTAAAATGTTGTAAAAATTCAGTTTATGAAGTCTTGCTCTGGCTACCTTCATGTACCCTTTCACAGTTTCTTCATAACCTGACTTAAATGATTGATGGTAAATTATCTTGAAATGAGTTCAGTTTTTAGGCTTTTTTTTCCTTCATATTCTTTCTTTTAAATGATGCTCTAAAACCTTTCGAAGCTTTTAGCCTGGGTTATTCGGAGAGTATTATTCAGTTCAGTTACAAAATCAATTTTCTTTTTGTTCAAACAGTTGATAATATCTTTCGTATAGTGATTGATGGATAAATCCGGCCTAAACGGATCTTCATTTTAATGATGTTGTAAAATGAACCACTTTTTAATGCAAGTTTTTAAATAAACAAAACCATTTATAGTTTCCTGAAAAGGGACTGCTTTAGGAATATTGCTGTTTTTCAATGACGTGCTATAATATGATTTTTAGGCTTTATTTTGAAGTGTAAGAGACAGATGGAATGTCGAATGTTAACCCATTAACCGCCAAAACTACAAGGAATGTTTCTATTCTCATGAAAATAATAACAAATATTAAATTAAGCATCTATAACATGAATTTACATTGAAAATTTTAAAAAAAATGCTTTTACCTGTGGAAAAAGCTAGTGTTGCGTTCGCGCAACGTCAGTGGAATAACACTATGTTTGTTTAGTGAGTAGGATTGTACTCGTGTGATGTTTCTTTTGAGTGAAGCGCAGGATTACTTTTAGCTGTATAACGTTTTATAAATCTACAAATCACTTTAAATGTAATTAATTTAATATTAAAATATACATTGTATTTCTTTTACAAATACAGATTATTTCATTTGAAAGATTCAAGCATGAAAAGCTTGATTACGATCATGATGTAGAGCTACATTACATACTTTGCATCTATGAACAGTCTGGCTATGGTACTCTTTACAACAAAGTCTTTTGTTATCAACGGACTTTACGATAAAATGTCTACCATCTCCATGCAATGGTTTTTGAATGCTGAATTTACTAGGTCTTCCTGATGCTGATCTATTTCTGGCTAAATCTACACTCTCAATAGGAGTTTGCAAAAGGAATAATGCATTCTCGCGTCTGAAATCTAAAAGAGACTTTATATTTCCAGTAGTAAAAAGTGGTGATATTTAGTAAGTTTAGATACAGTCTCACCTCAAATAATTTATCAGTATTGTCAATTTGACTATTGTTAAATGCAAATTCTGCTTCATATTCCTGTACTGCAAACGTGATATCAATTCTCGTACAACAGAAATGTCCTTATCAAAAGACCAATACATTTTTTCTTGAGGTAAAGAACGATAACCTGTAAGCAATAATATTCCAATAAATCTTCTCATATAGGCTTCAGATGCATAAATTCTGGGCGGTTTTTTTTTTTTTTTTTTTTCTGAGCATATATATTTGTCTGTTCAACGAGAAGAGAGTAAATGTCTAAACCAAAAACAAAATGGAAAATCTGTGCACTAGTTTTACTTTGTGTTTTGTCTTTTATAATTTCTCTTCTATCTCTTTCTTCATGTTTTTCCTGAGACATAACTAACAGTTCCTTTTTTATCCACTTCAAGATTTCAGTCTTCTGCTTTTTAAACTTTTTAGTATGACTATAACTGCTTTTAGAAGGCTGAAACTTACTTCTTACGTAAATTTTAACTTCCCCAGCAGTATCATTTGGTAAAATATCATTATTCATTATTTAAAATATTGCCATTCCTTTCTTTTTCGTCACTAGCTTCTGCAATTTCTGGGGGAACAACAACAATATCAGTTTCATTCTAGTGATTATTAACATTAGCATCATCTGTTTCTACATCAAAAAATCTTTTATGGGCTTCTTTTAATGTAAGATACTTCGTTCTAGGCATTTTTAAACAACCAGAACATAAACCAGAACATCGAAAAGAATGAGTGAAAAAGGAGATTGACTACCCGTTTCCTGCTGACGTTGCGTCAACGCAACACCTGTTTTTCCTTTTTTCCTAATACAAATATAAACATCTGACTGATGTAATGTTCTGATAAACGGTGACCTTGACTAAAAATAGATCACTCATAAAGACGGCGATTCTTTCGTTAAATATTTTCAGAAAAAATACACGGACGAAAATTTTGCTTAAATTTTGCTTAAAGTATAAGATTAATTATTATAAACAAAATAATTGTTGAAGGCAAATATTTTTTACAGAAATAATCTTCATAATATTCCCTACACAAAATCATCTGCTGGTATAAAATATCTTAGGTAGTTAATTATAACGCATTTATTTTGATCGTTGCGTCAACGCAACACCAGCGGCTAATGGGTTAATGCTTGGCGAAATACCACTGAGATTAAAATAAAATATAAAAATTTGTTCATCATCTATGATCAGTTTTCACCGATTTTATGGTGGAATCTATTGCTTATCAACTTAACGGCATTTTTTTCTCTCTCGAATTCTTTGACTTTTTTGTGTGCGTCGGAGATACCACTTTTGGTATAAGAAATTAAACGCAGATTATTCTTCAGCTGATAAACGTTTGATTTTGACATCTTCAATTTTTGAACAATTTGAAGGATAGAAATAGCTGATATTCCAGAGAATTTCCGCTTAATCATATTCATGATCTGTTTGCAATCATTTTCCTAAAACCTTTTCTAAACTTGCGAGTAGATTGATATCAACATGTTCTTCAATTTGTCTTAAACCCTGTTGTTTGGGATATTTAATTTGACCATTTTTGTAATGTTTTGACACAACCATTTATGCTTCTTTCAGCATCACATTTATTGGTTTAGGAAGAAAATAATTTCGGTTTTCTAGTATAAATTAAAATCAGTTTTTTCTATTAAAATGATGAACTTTTTTCAGTCAAATATCTTACATTCTGTTCGATAATCTTTTGCCATCTTGCGGGTAACTTCATGATTCCGCGCTCATAGAACATCTAATAATTTTGTGCATCTCCAAATCAGATGATGGTGGTTCAGTGGGTTTACTAATTTTAACACTTTTACATTTTAAACAATATTTTAATTACTATATACAGAGCGTATTCTTAGGCCGCCGCCTTCAACATGAACAAACTTTATTCTCTTACAACTAAGCGAGCAACAGCGCCCTCTAGCCTTTTTCTTCAAATTACACAACACTCCCCACCTGAACTCGGTGGAGAGTTCATCTTTCAATAATATATTCTAGAATATTCAATTAATATTTCGACAATAAATCCTGGAGAAATGGTTAAATATAACAAACATGCATACATAATTATAAGCACATAAAATTTTACAAAACATTAAATGATACCTATCAGCAAGGTCAGGAGAATCAAACCTAAAAATACAAAATACAAACATTAGTTAAGTTCCATATTATATAACAATTGTATAGGCCTTTTTAAGGTACCAGTAGGTGTTTTAATTATGCAAGATCTTATTTTACCATCTCTGCCTGGCATTAATTCCAAAATTTTACCTATTGTCCAAAGATTTCTGAGATGTTATTTGATTAGCAGGCAGAGATAGCAATCGTCTACCAACCAGAAAATGAGAGGGTGTTAGTGGAGAAGGTTCATTGGGATCGGTAAAACACGTAGGTAATTGGTCTACAATTAATCATTGCCTCGATTTCAATGAGCACTGTTTCAAGCTCTTTCACAGTAAGGGATGATCGACCAATAATTTTTCGCAAGCTGGATTTTATGGTTCGTACCATACGCTCCCAAAACCCTCCCCACCATGGACCCCTCTCAATAATAAATTTCCAATTTATGCCTCTAGCAGAAAATAATTCTTTCACAGATGAGTCACTCAAAGTTTTAAAAATATGTTTTAGTTCTTTATCAGCTCTTTTAAAAGTCTTGGCATTATCGGAGTACACGGTGGTACACAGTCCTCGGCGAGCTAAAAATCTTCGGAAAGCTAGCAAAAAACTTTCAGTGCTGAGATCAGTTACTATCTCTATATGTAAGGCACGAGTGACCGCACACGTTAACAACAGCATGTAAACTTTACCTTGCCTGTCTTTCGTAAAAAATGGACCGGCGAAGTCCAACCCGGTCACAGCAAATGGAGGCGACTCTTGGATTCTGTCTGGAGGAAGTGGAGCGATATCCTGTACCCCAGGACGAGCACTATATCGTTTGCATATCACACATTTTCTGATGATAGTCTTAACACGCTGTCTTCCCTTAATGATCCAATATTTGTCTCTGATCTGAGTTAGTGTCGAATTAACTCCAGCATGGAATACCCTTTCATGCGAGTCCATGATGATCAACTCGGTAAACTTGCATTTTGAGGGTAATAGAATAGGATGTTTTAAATTCTCGTGACAGTCTGCAAATTGAATGCGACCTTTCAACCGAAGAATTCCCTCCTCATCAAGCCTTGGATTAAGGGAGTAGATGGAAGAATCGAGAATTGATTTTTTATTTGATAACTTAATTATTTCCGCTTGATACGATTCTCGTTGCGTAATTTTTACCCAATAATGTTCAGCTGCTTTAATCTCAAAAGCACTTAAAGGTCCATTCTCTGTAGACCTTTTCCGAAGCCTCCCAATAAATCTAAATACATAGGCAGTAATTCGAAGTAATTTTCCTAAAGAACTGAATTTTTCTATATGCAAAATTGGGGATTCATTGTTAATTACAGGTGCAGTCAAAATAATACTTTTTCTTAACTCCAACGATTCTGAATTTGGTTTTAATTTCTTTTGTTTTGGAAAGTTTTCAATAGGAAAACGTAACCAGTGTGGCCCATGCCACCACAGATCATTCTTAACTTAGTGA